AAAAAATGAAATATCTCAGTCTTAAAGGATGATGTGCTGGGAGTGTTTCCAGCCTTTCAGGAGGATTCTGATTTTCCACCATTCCAATACTTTTATTTCGAGGGATTTTTGGGGGATTTTCAGTGCAGCTTTGGGGTTCCCATGATTTCCAGCAGCCATCCATCCGCTCAAGGAGTGATCCATGGAATCATTCTGAACACGTTCAGGCCCGGTGATTCCTGATTTTTGTGCTGACTCATTAAAGTTTGAGGTCATTAAGCAGCTGTTAATGAGCAATTAAGCAGCTGTTAATGAGCAATTGCTGCCGGCCCAAGGCTTTCGTTGCCCCCGGGTGGGATTTAGCCGAGGAATGTTCGTGGGCGCCTCCCCTGCCTGCAGGCCGAGCCCTCAGAGCTCACCTGGATTTTTCCACACTCAGTATTTCTCTTTAAAACCCTCTGAGTGTCATTTTCCAGCAAAAATAATTGATAAAATTTCACCTGTAACATTAATAACTCCTCCTCCAATTTTCCAAATCTGATTTTCGGCAGAACATTAACTCAGCGCCCAAGAATTTCAATCCAGGGGCTGCTGCATTGTTTTCTGTGGGTGTGACCAACAACAAAAAAAAAGAAGATTTTGTAGTTAATGGCAGGAACTCCTGGGTTGAATTAAAGCCTTTAGAGGAATTAAGATTATTAAACCACATAGATATGAAGTAGAAGTGTAAATTCAAGTTCTGAGTAAACAGAAGTGTAAGATATAGTTTTAAATAAGTAGAAATGTATCTTAAGTGCTCTAAGAAACAAGCAGTCAAGTTTCTTAAACTTACTACTACTTACTACTTACTTTACTTAGTAGTAAAGTTCTTAAGTTCTTAAGAATTAAGTTCTTAAGAATTAATTTCTTAAGTAAATTTATTAAATTCTTAAGAAATCAGCCAGCAAAGGCCCTAAGGCCTAGTTTGAAGTTCAGTTTAAACTTAATGCCAGACATAACAAAGACAGAGCAAAACCTTGCTCGCTTCTCTAGACAGAATTATTAATGGAAATAAAGATATATGTGTAATAAATAAAGCTATATGTGTAAATAGATAAAACTAATTTAGATTAGACAACAAAGCATTAAAGTCGTTTTCTCTGCCCAGGGATTGGTGAATTTTGTGTGACGCCTTTGATGTGAAAATTGAGAGTTAAATGTGAATTGGTCTCACCTGATTATTCCTTCCTTGGTTTTGGCATCCGGAATTTCCACTTTATTTGTTTCTGTTTATTTCCATTTGAGACTGGCAAGGCTTAAATTTCACTTTCATCCAGGGGTTTTGAAGGAAAAAAATTCATCCTCATTGATTTTTCCAGAGAAACTTGGGCTTCCATAGGGAGCTGTAATTCCCTTTGAAAATTCTGATTGGTCACTACTAGTATAAGAAAAAAAACCCAAACAATTTTAATATAAAACATCCAATAATATTATTTTATAATGCATATTACCTAACATACAATGTATGCATTCTAATATACAAGGCATAATTATATAAGAATTGGAAATACATGTATTATATATATAATATTAAAACCCCCCTGTTTTATATATTATATATATAATATACACTACATATAATATATAAACTGTTTTACATATTTATAAAAAATTTTATTTATATGATATATAGATACTATATATTTATATATAATATTTATATATTATATACTATTTATTATATATTTGTATATTTTATATACATTTTATATATTATTTACATAATATATGCTACATATAATGTATAAACTGTTTTACATATTTAAAATTTATTTATATAATATATAGATATTATATATTTTTATATAATATTTATATATTATATACTATTTATTTTATATATTTGTATATTTTATATAAATTTTATATATTATTTACATAATATATGCTACATATAATATATAAACTGTTTATATCTATATTATATATATGAAAATTATTCTTTTATAGGACAGACTGATTTCTTTAGCCTGTAGTCCACTTTAATAATCACAATTTTGTGATTATTTGTTCCCAATTCTGGGATTTAAATCCTGCAATCTTGCAGGATTTTAAGATTCTTCTATTTGTTTAAAATCAGTCCCCTTTAGGATTTTTTAATCCTATCTACCATTGAACAAAACTGAATTGAATTTCACTTTTTGGTTTTAATTTTGCCCGTGTCAGTTTTTAAGATCTGCAATTTCCAGAGCCAAAAGTGAGTTCCAGGTGCATTTTTTTCTTTGCTTGTTTCAGGAAATGATCATTTTGTTTAAAATCCTTTTCCTCTTTACAGACCAAAGCCAGCAAAGCAAACGAAAGCCAAAAACCAAAACTAGTGACCATGAAAAAATGAGGTGAGAAATACTATTTATTTAAAAATTTATTATACTTTTTTTTAAAATTATTCTTATTTTGAGCTATTTTATGTAAAATTAAAACAACTTGAGTTTGCTGCTTGCTCCTTGCTAGTGGCTTTGTGTCATTTTTTGCATTCTAATAACGAATAAATTCCCCAAAATTCCAATTTTTCCACAGTTATTACTTGAAAACTGAAAATCTTCCATGCCCAGCTGAGTTTTAGAAATTGAAGGCATAATTTGAATATTTGCTGTTGAAGCAGAGGGGGGACAGGAGTTTTGTTTCAGTTGTTACATCCAGAGTTAAGGCAATAATTGTAACTCTTGCCTCATTTCCAAGGTCTCCTTGAATTGTTCAAAGAATTTTTCAAACTCCTCAGGCTCTCCCTGAGCTCTGGAAAAAAATGAAATCTGGTTTTATAAACTTTATTTTATGAAAGAACTTTTTTTTAGTTGTTTGTTGGCTCCAATTTCCAATCAAAAATCAGATTTTAAGGCCAGGATGCTCCTGTGGAAAAGGAATGTGAATGGTTGTACTTGGGGTTAAAATTCAATTAATTAATGTAAGACTATAGATTTTACAGCATTAAATATTTATATTTAAAATATTTATTCATATATAAGTGTATATTAAATATTATATTTATGTAATATTTATGTTTCCACTTAAAACATAATTTATGAGAGGAAATAATTGAATATTTCCTCTGGTGCTGGGGTCACCACGCTCTGGAGATTTTTGTTGTGTTTAGGATGGCTCAAAACATAAAAATCCAGCAAAACAGGATTTTTATTTTATTTCCATAAAATAAAAATATTTTATCATATTTTATGGAAATTAATACAAACTTCCCTATTTCCTATTTTATTTTAAGAGAATTTTTCAACACAGATTTCAGATTTCTTTAGGAAACCTGAAAATTCCCAATCCTAATTCAAATGTGACCACAACCCCAAATTTCAATTTCTTTCAATCAATATTTATTTCAGTACAATCCTGTTGTTTTCCCATCATGTTTTGAGTACCAGTGTAGGTTGAAAAATTGAATTTTTGCCACAGGAGAGGTCATTAAACTGAATTATCAGTATTTTCCTTTCCCTTCAGGGAGGGTGAATATTTTCATTTATTGTGGGACAAATCCTCTTTAAAGCAGCTGAACCAGCTCCAAAATGATTTCAGTGCTGGGGGGAGATGATCAGACCTTAGAAAAACCAGATTTTATTGAGAATAAATTGAGATTTAAAGCACATTTCCAAACCCTTGGTGCCTGTCCTGTTTTTTGTAGGGATCATGTGGATTTGAAGAGGGAGAAAGCCATGGAGGATAAAGGTTTCTGTGCTGTGCCACAGGTAATGGGAATCCAGCCTTGAATTGGAAATTATTTCTCATTTTTTAGGAATATTGCACAAAATCTTGGTTAATTCCAAATTTTAACTCTCTGTGTGGCTTTGATCAGAGGCAGGAGTTCTGTGGTTACACTGATTTATTCTCATTTATTCTGATTTTCTTCTGGTTTCTTTTTCTTCTCATGCTGTAAAACCTGGCTGGGATCATTTTCAATTTAATTTTTAATTAAATTTTTAATCAAAAATTAAAACCTGGCTGGGATAATTTTCAATTTAATTGTTAATTAAATTTTTAATCAAAAATTCAAACCTGGCTGGGATCATTCAGGAATTTAAAAAGCCTTTCCCAAATTTCCGCTTAAATGTTTTTTTCCATTTGGATACCTTTGGTAATAACCATTTTTGTGGAATGGCTGTTGGAAATGCTGAAAAATACATTAAAAAATTAATAAAATTCATTCATTGGGGGAAAATTCTCCTTCTCTGGTCAATCACCAATAAATTCCTGAAGGAAATAATGGCAATGCTTAACAAACAAATTAAATTATTTGTTTATTTAATTAATTAATTCTTTCATCCCTGTTATTTGGAGGATGTAGATACCAAAAATCTTTATTCAGATTAAAAACCTCACAGGATAAAACTGAATTTAGAAGGCAAAGTACAGGCTTTACCCTTTATTTCCTATCAAATACTTAATTTTGTTTTGCTCATTGATTGTTGGTGTTGAAAGGAACATTTTCATTCATTTAATCTGCTTTGTATGTCATTAATTTAGCATTAAAATAATAAAATTTATTCTGATCTAAAACTGCATGGGACAGCATTAACCCAGGAGTTGTAGGAAATTAAAATAAATCTTAATTATTTACATAATATAAATTCCTGCAGATTTCAGGAAGTATCAATGGTGAAAACAAAATAAAATTTTTACATAACATAATAATAAATAACAGAATAAAATAATGTGAAACCTTCCAGCATGAGCTGAGCTGGACACAAATGAAAAATTAAAAAATTCTCAGCTCTTCCAAAAATATTTGGGCCCAAAAAGTGAGGAAAAGCAGAACTCTGGGTGCTGCCCTTGGGTTTTTTTATATGTGAGGAGAATTAAAACGGGGCTTGAACTAAAGCTGCAGCTTTCTGGAGAGAAATTTAGAATTAAAATGAGGATTTTTAAGAGATTTAGCAGCTCCATGAAAATCTAATGCAAGAGTTTTATAAAAACTGAAACTCTGAAGAGTTTGATAAAAATGCACTTGGTTTGCTGCGTGAAAAGTGAAATTGTGGTGAAACAATTCAGGAGGCTGCAGGATTTCCACTTGGCTGTCTCAGAAGCATTCTAGCGAATATTTATTTTCTGAATGAAATCTTTTACTTGCTTTTGAAAGAAAAAAAATAAAATGTTTTCTTTATTTGAATTTGCTGTTTATTTGTCTGTTAACCATTCCAGGGGGATTTCAGTGCAGAAGGAAAATCCCTGGGGCTGGAGGGCGATGGAGCCTCACTGGCCAGGGACAAACCCATTATATTGCCCCTGCTGAGAGCCTTGAATACTCCAGAATTCACGGTAAACTCTCCGAAATAAATTGCTTTTTATCCCAGAAATTCAAATTCATGCATTCAGCACCTTCCTTCCCCCAAAACAATCCTGATTATTGTGTGGCAGAACAACCCAACAACACCGGGTAAAAGGAATTTGAAGGTGCAATGTGAGAAAGAAAGAAAAAAAAAAGCCAAAATATTCTTATTTATTAAAA